CGTTGAAAATATAAGATATTTTTTTCTATAGAACGTTAGACGGTAAATAACATCAAATTAAGAGCCACTGTTGGGTTCTATTTTTTTTAGATATTTCGGATTCAAAGCGGTTTTGGATGAAAACATCCGCTTTTTATGATGTTTACATCTGAATAATTCGACAACGGTAAAATATAGCAGAGCTTCCCCTCATGGAGTATTACGTTCATACATTTTTGCTCTTTATAATAACAAAAATAACAGAATCTTTACATGAGTGTTGTTTGTCAGATGGGTACCTCTTTAAATATAAGAAGTTACATCAAGTCGTCAACATTTTTTTTCGCGGAAAAATACAAATGTTTGGAGTAACTATTAACGTAGATTTTTTTTATACAAAAAACGTATCAGGTTAATTCTTATATTTATTGAAAACAGACAGCCTTCATGAACTGGTGTAAAATAACTACGATAACATTTAAATCCGCGTGGTTAACTTTGAACGATATTAAAAGAGACCTTTCTAAACTCACTGATCACTAAACAATGCGGGTCTCCAGCAGTAACCAAAGATCGTGAACCCATTCTTGTGTCACGCGTGCAGAGCGTCTTGTTAAATATTGTTGCATTCGCTTGCAGTTAGTTAATTTAGGATGACCTCACAATGGACAATTGGGTCAAAATATTGATGATGTTCATTATTCATAGATTTATTTCTCAGAACTATGTTGGATCAGGCGAGTGGTGGGTACTCAGTTGACACAAATTTCAACAAGGGGGTGGGAGTAACACAATAGACAAAAATAGGTTCAGAACACTGTTCTTAGCCACGATTGCCACGGGCTCTGAAGAAGGGCCATTGTCTAAACCGTAAGACGACAGAAACACTCACTAACTCGTTTACCCACTCACCCACTAACCCACTCCCTCTCTCACTCACCCACTCACCCACTGACTCACTCACCCACTCAACCACTCACCCACTCACTCACTCCCTCTCTCACTCACCCACTCACCCACTGACTCACTCACCCACCAACCCACTCAACCACTCACTCACCCACCCACTCACCCACCAACCCACTCACCCACCCACTAACTCACCCACTCAACCACTCACCCACTCACTCACCCACTCACCCACTCACTCACCTACTCGCTCACCGACTCACCCACTCACTCACCCACTCTCTCACCCACCAACCCACTCCACTCACCCACTCACTCATCCACTCCCTCACACAGACTCGCGCACAGGGTCACTCACACAAAGCCAAATATACCCCGTATAGCCTTAAAATGCAGTCGGGGCAAGTGCTGTCAGCGAGCACCTATTGAAGGCCGGCACTGTGGCACACGAGGGGTTGAGTGGCCAGCACCACACTCGGACCGCCTTTATCGCCCGAGTGGTAATGTTTGTACACACCACACTAGGTACTAATCAGAGGCTAAGTCGACCTAGGGGAGGCCCAGGACCGGTTCAGATGATCATTGCTGGTGTTGGCCGTGAGCGCGGATCGAACTCAGGCTTTGAAGTGCAGCGTAACGCTAACCAGTGCACCACCGCTCCCTGGCTGACATGAATTCCCACGTGATGATGATGATGACATCAGCCATCTTGTGGAGCTGCTATCATTTGTGATGGCCAGGTCGCTTTTAAAAAAAAGTAGCTACACAGCAGCTCAGTGGAGCCTTACACCTGGTGCAAATGTAGTGCCGTAGATGGGCCACGCTTACCGGCAGTAGTAGACGAGGTCCATCTGCAAGGGTACCCCGTACCGCCAAGGGGGGGGGGGGGGGCTGCGGGGGACCTACGATCCCACGCAACGCCACCCCTCGATGGGCAAAGGGGCATAAAAAGGGACCTCCCCAGCCGATCGGGACCAGTCGCAGCTGAAGACCCAAAACCAGCCAGCTTAGGACCCTGGACCCCCTCGTCCCGCTTGTCCTTGTAAGGGCCAGGACGCTGTTCAGGCCAGTGGTGGGACTCCCGGCTCTACGCCCTTGTAAGGGCGAGGTCCGAGGAAGCCAGAGTCGAGATCCGCACCTTGGCTGGGTCGGGTCAGGTAGCATCCCCTAGGGTAATTGTAGCCGGATGACCCGAGAGCGTAGCCAGTGTCAGGCACGCTAAAAGTAGGCTGTGCCCCTAGGCTGTAACAGTGTATCAGGACTGTTGGAGTGTGTATTGTAATAAAGAAGTTGCATCTACAAAGTGTCTCCAGAACCCATTACACACAGACAGACGTCCATGCACATACAGAAGGCGAGAGGGGGAGGATGGGGAGGGAGACAGAATGCATGTGTGTTGAACTTCTTTCGCACCGTACGTAGCCAACCGTGCTAATCGGAACTAGTATATAGTGTAGTGTTTAGTAAAGTGTATTGTATTGGAGTGTATATTAGTCTAGTGTATACTAGCGGTGTATAGTTGTGTAGTGTTTTTAGTGGAGTGTATTGTAGTGTCGTGTATAGCAGTGTAATGTATAGTAGTGTAGTGTATAGTGATGTACAAGCGTTGAACTTCTTTCACACCGTACGTAGCCAACCGTGCTCGTCGGAGGTGTGCTTGGAGGTGGGGTGTAAGAAACTAAACATAACGCAAACTACAAAGTTATGATGACAAGGAAGTACATTTTTGGGGGGGTTTAAATTTGTTGACCATTGCCACTGACAGGAACTTGCAGACTCAGGTGGCGAGGAATGCGAGCCGGCTCACATTCCGAGCGGGCCTTTCGTACCAGCAGATGTTCACAATGGAGATATCAGAATCTAAATCAGATGAGCAGCCTGGCCACACGTATTGACAGCTCAACGAAATGGCTTATCGTGGTGGACATTCTGCTGCTACATCTATGTTCAAGTTCAAGTTCATTTATTAGGTATAGCCCTGTGAGCCATTCGGCTCTTGAATTGGGTGCAACCGCAACAAACAAAAACACGAACAAAAACATCTTAAAGTGAATATGTGACTAAGTGCAAACAAAAATCCAAGAAAGGACAGCAAAATATTGCAGAAAAAAATCACCGTACACCAACGCTGTGTGCAAAAATCCCAGTGGGATGTAAGTCAAACAACCAACAACAACCACAAGACAACTTAGATTAAGGCCATCAGTCTAACTCTCTACTACAACAAACCAACATGGCTAAACCAATATACTTTTCGAAATCACCAAAATAAAGGCATGAAAGCAATGAAACAGTGATCATAGGAACTGACGGAATTTTCATAATAAATGGCATAAACAACATGTACTACCAAAACCCTGCAGCCATAGCTGGCTTCATGAGTCACTCCACAACAGTAGGAGCATCAATCGGAGTATTATAATTTCTAATAATGTATGTGGTGGAAAGAGATGATTCATATGGTGGGAGCCAGAGGGCATCCCTGTCGCACCCCAAGGTGAACAGGGAATGGCTCTGACTCCCGGCCACGCAGTTTACCCGGGCCAGCCCACCATCAGCAAGGTCCTTAATGATTGTGAGCAGAGTGTCACGGACTCTGACAGCGTGAAGATCAACCAAGAGCCCCGGCCTATTGATGGTGTCATAGGCATGAACCAGCTCAATGAAGCAGAGATGTAGGTCCTGTTGGAATTCCCTACACTTCTGCTGTAGCAGACGGACAGAAAATATGGCGTCGGTGCAGGACCGCCTTCGCCTGAAACTACATTGGGGCTCCGCCAGCCTCTTCTCAATGTGCCTGGCAAGGCGATGTTGAATTATCCTCGTCAGGACCTTACCCGGCACACTGAGGAGGGAGGTGACCCTGTAGTTGTTACAGTCTGTGGGGTTCCCCTTCTTAAAGAGGGGGACCATCAGGGCATTCTGTGGAACCCATCCAGTGGTCGTGACTGTTATTATGATGTAATGTAGGGCAGTTTGTGCACACATTTCTCCCTGAGCAGTTCACTTGGGAGATCATCTCTGCCCGGTGCGTTTCCTGGTCTCAGACTCTGGATCGCCTTCCGTACTTCCTCAACAGATGGCACCTCAGCCAGCCACTCACAGAGAGTGGCGACTTCCTCCAATATTGGAGGCACCGCAGCCTCAAGCAGGGTCGTCCCCACCTTGCCCCATGATTTTCTTGGTTCTTTCGGTAAAGTCACGTAGAAAGGAAAAAATAAAATAATAAAAATAAAACATAATAAAATAATTCTCACGACGTTTCGGCCACAACACAAGCAGCCGTCCTCAGGTGAAGACCAGGTCTGTCGAGGCGACAGCGTCTAAAAGAAAACACCACCACGCTTGGAGCGTCTATTTAAGCTGGGTTGGAAGGCGGGGGGAAATACGCATTCACAAATAGCACTAATCGCATTCCTGCATTTCCCATAAATATGCTAAATTCCTCTTGATATGCAGATTATTTTGCCAATGCGCATTTCCCCCCCTTCCAACCCAGCTTAAATAGACGCTCTAAGCGTGGTGGTGTTTTCTTTTAGACGCTGTCGTCTCGACAGACCTGGTCTTCACCTGAGGACGGCTGCTTGTGTTGTGGCCGAAACGTCGTGAGAATTATTTTATTATGTTTTATTTTTATTATTTTATTACTTCCCTTCTACGTGACTTTACCGAAAGAACCAAGAAGATGAATCCCTGCAGTCACGAAAGCTTTAAATCGAAATTGCCCCATGATGTTTTCTGGGCTGAGGGTTTCGCCTCCCCACAAGAACTCACATAAATGCTCAGAAAACCTGCTCATGGCGGTCGAAGATTGGATACCAGTTTATTCTCTTTAAGCATTGACACACACATAGACAAACGTAGATATGTCATCAGCACCATCACCATCACCGGTGGATAGTCCACCGGTGATGGTGATTGCACTGAGAGACAAAGTGCGGAGCACGAGGATTAGAGAACAAACGCAGGGTCGAGTCATCATCATAACCACATTGATCTCCATCCAGCATTGAATAAATCACGGTGATTGCACTGCGAGACAGAGAGAGGAGCACGGAAATTTGAGAAAAGGTCAAGGGGAGGGAGACTCGGGGAGGAGAGATGGGGAGGGGAGAGAAAGTGTTCTGCGGAGACACGCGGAGACGCGCAGAGAGCGAGACGCGGAGATACGGTGAGACACGTAGAGTGAGTGGGTGAGTGTGTAGGTTAGTGAGTGGATCGGTGAGTGAGCGAGTAAGTGGGGAACTAGTTATGTGAGTAAGTAGGTAGGTGAGTGAGGTGAGTGAGGTGAGTGAGTGGGTGAGTCGGTAGGTGAGTGATTGGATAGGTAAGTGAGTGGGGGACTGGTTATGTGAGTGAGTGGATAGGTGAGTGAGTGGGTGAGTGGGTGAGTGGGGGACTGGGTAGTGAATGAGTAGGTGCGTGAGTGAGTGAGTGAGTGGGGGACTGGGGAAGGGAGTGAGTGTGTAGGTGAGTGAGTGGGTGAGTGGGGGATAAGGTATGTGAGTGAGTGGGTAGGTGAGTGAGTGGGTAGGTGAGTCAGTGAGTAGGGGAGTGAGTGAGTGAGTGAATTAGTGGGTGAGTGGATGGGTGACTAAGTGGATGAGTTGGTGAGTGAGTGAGTGAGTGAACCCGTCCACCCATGTTTCTTCCCGCTCACGCCACCAACATCAGCGATAGCAATTATCTGAACCGGTTTTGGGACTCCCCTAGGTCGACTCAGCCTCAAATGAGAACCAAGGGGCGGTGTGGAGTAAACATCGCCACTGGGGAGACAAAGGCGGCCGGGCGTGGTGCTGGCCATCCACCCCCTCGTGTGCCACAGTGCCGGTCTTCATGGGCGCTCTCTTACAGCACTTGCCCCGACAGAATTTTAAGGCTCTCCGGGGGATCTTTGGCTTTGTGTGAGTGTACTTGTGCGCGAGTCTGCGTGAGGGAGTGGGTGAGTGGGTGAGTGAGTTCGTCGGTGAGTGAGTGGGTGAGTGGGTGAGTGAGTGAGTGGGTGAGTGGGTGGCTGAGTGAGTGAGTGAGGGTGTGGGTGAGTGAGTGAGTGAGTGAACGAGTTAGTGAGTGTGTCTGTCGTCTGGTGGTGGCAGTGATGATGATTTTGTTGATATATTTTAGGACAGAAATGGCGTCACTGATGGTGATGATGGTGGTGGTGATGGTGATGGTGGCTGAGGTAAGGTGATGCTGATGATTTTAATGATGATGTTGATGCTGATGCAGGCTGTGTTCAATATGACGCTGTGAATGATGCTAATGATGATGTCGATTATATTTTTAGGTGCAAAGTGATATCACCATCTACCAGAACGTAAGAATGATAGCCTATGACACTCACTCATTCACTCACCAACTCACCCACCCACCCATTCACCCACCCACCTACTCCCTTACTCACCAACTCACTCACCCACCCACCCACCCACGAACCCACCTACCTACTCACTCACCCACCCACTCAAACTCCCACTCACTCACCCACGAACTCATTCACCCACCCACTCACCCGCTCACTCATCCACTCACTCACCCACTCACCCACGAACTCACTCACCCACGAACTCACTAACCCACCCATTCACTCACCCGCCTACTCACCCACCCACTTACCCATTCACTCCACAACCCACCCACCCACAAACCCACCAACTCACTCATCCACAAACTCAACCAACTCACTCACCCACCAACTCACTCACCCACCCACTGGTCCACCAACTCACTCATTCACCAACTCATTCAACCACTCTGTCACCGACACAAAACAAAGATCCTCCGTTTCGCCTCAAACGACAGTAGGAGCAAGCGCTGTTGGCGAGTAACAGCTATGAAGGCCGGTACTCTGCCATACAATGCAGTGGGTAGCCAGCACCACAGCCCGGCCACATTTGTCTCCCCAGTGGCGATGTTTACGACGAACCCGCACTAGGATTCTCATTTGAGGCTGAGTCCACCTAGGGGAGGGAGGATCCCAGGACCGATTCAGATGTTGGCCGTGAGTGGCCGGAATCGAACTCGGGTCTCCTTGTGCAAGTTCGTAGCGCAGTGCGCTGTGCGCTAACCACTGCGCCACCGCTCCCCCAACACAACTGTACACTACACGATACACTACACTCCGATACACTACACTCCGATACACTACACTAGACACAACTATGGATTAGCACGGGTGGCTATGTACGGTGCAAAATAAGTTATACACACATACATACGTACACACTACTATACACTACAATACTATACACTACACTATAAACTACACTGATATGCACTATACTATAAACTACACTACAAACTACACTACTATACACTACACTATAAACTATACTACTATAAATGTAGATTTAAAGCTTTCGTGACTGCAGGGATTCATATTCTTGGTTCTTTCGGTAAAGTCACGTAGAAGTGAAATAATAAAATTTCCCTTCTACATGACTTTACCAAAATAACCAAGAATATACTACTATACACTGCTATACACTACACTACAAACTACACTACTATACACTACACTATGAACTACACTACTTTTTACTATGCTGTCTGCAACCTTCGATTAGCACAGGTGACTATGTATGGTGCGAAATAAGTTAAAAGGACATGATGATGGCGTGTATTTTTTTTCTCTGCAGACAACTGATTTGGTCATCATATACAACCGAGTAAGTACCGGGCTGCTGATGATGATGATGCTGATCTTGCTGCTGATGATGATGTTGCCGCTGATGATGATGTTGCCGCTGATGATGATGTTGCTGCTGATGAGAAATGTTGTTGATGATGGTGTTTCTGTTCTTGCTGATGATGGTGTTGTTGAGATGTTTCTGCTGCTGATGATGTTGCTACTGATGATGATGTTGCTACTACTGATGATGATGTTGCTGATGATGATGTTGCAGCTGATGATGATGATGATGTTGCTAATGATGTTGTTGCTGCTGATGATGATGCTGATGACGTTGCTGCTGATGATGTTGCTGCTGATGCTGCTGATGATGATGCTGATGATGTTGCAGCTGATGATGATGATGCTGATGTTGCTGATGATAATGTTGTTCCTGATGATGATGCTGATGATGTTGCTGCTGATGATGCTGATGATGTTGCTGCTGAAGATGATGATGCTGATGATGATGCTGATGATGATGATGCTGATGATGTTGATGCTGATGATGATGTTGCTGATGATTCTGTGTGTTTTCCAGTCAATGGTTAACCGACCTTCGTTGGCAAGTTACTCTGATGCATGCGATCCTTACCCGGTGAGGAAACGGCTGATGATGATAACGTTGCCAATGATGACGATGCCGATGATGACGTTGCCGATCATGACGTTGCCGATGATGACGATGCCGATGATGATGATGATGACGATGATAACGTTGCCAATGATGACTATGCCGACGATGACGATGCCGACGATGACGTTGCCGATGATGACGATGATACAAATGATGACGATGCCGATCATGACGTTGCCGATGATGACGATGATGATGACGATGATGCCGATGCCGCTGATGACGTTGCCGATGATGACGTTGCCGATGATGACATTGCCGACGATGATGTTGCAGACGATGACGTTGCCGTTGATGACGTTGCCGATGATGACGTTGCCGATAATGACGTTGCCGATGATGACGATGATGCCAATGATGACGTTGCCGATGATGACGCTGCCGATGATGATGACGACGATGACGATGATGACGTTGCCGATGATGACGCTGCCGATGATGATGACGACGATGATGACGATGATGCCAATGATGACGTTGCCGATGATGACGTTGCCGATGATGATGATGCCGATGATGACGATGATGCCAATGATGACGTTGCCGATGATGACGCTGCCGATGATGATGACGACGATGACGATGCCGATGATGACGTTGCCGATGATGATGATGCCGATGATGACGATGATGCCAATGATGACGTTGCCGATGATGACGCTGCCGATGATGATGACGACGATGACGATGCCGATGATGACGTTGCCGATGATGACGTTGCAGACGGATATCACCACAACAACCACCGTCTCTGTCGTGGTGAGTAGAGCATCACGTGACACCAATCACCATCATCAGCAACATCATCAGCGGCATCATCAGCAAGATCATCATCGGCAACATCATCAGCAACATCATCATCAGCAACAACATAAACACCAAAATCATCATCAGCATCACTAGGATGCCACTCACCACCAGAGGCCGCTATCACCCTTCATGCGTTATCGTGACACTCTGACCCCGTGGACCCCGACTGGACATCTGTGAAACAGAGCTTCATAGCTCATCGGATTCCCCCTTTAGGAGTATAAATGTAAGAATCTGATTTCTCTCTCTCTCCATTTCTCTGCCCATCTCTCTTTCCATCTTTCTGGCGTGCGCGATGAACACCACCACCACGTGACTTTTCTTTCGTGTTGTGCGCGGTGCATTTAGCGCCACAGCGCGTGGATCTAAAGCGTTGGTTTTCATTTGTTTGCTGGTGACTTTGTATTTCATATCGGAATCGCCTCCAGTGCTGTTGCTGCTGGCGGCAATAACAGTTGTTTAAAAGTCAAAAGTCTCTCACCATCTCTCCCCATCTTCTCTCTCCGTCGTCGCTATATCACCATCTTTCATTTTTTTACGATCAGAGGAAACAAGAAGATGCTCGGTGTCATCGGCACTTTGCTTCGTTCAACATTTAGTTTTTTGGGTTTTTTCAATGCTTTGCTTTATGTGCCCCCCTCCCCTTTTTAAATGAAATATTTCACGAAATATTTTACGCTCTGCTCTCCTCTCCCCATCTCTATCTCTCACCATTTCTCTCCCCATCTCTCTCTCTTGCCGGCGCATGATGGGAAGTGGCCATTCCTCTCTGGTGATCTTGTGGTGTCTATGCACATCGCCTGGGTTCAGAATCAGGATATTTAACTCGACTGAAGGAATCCGATGTACTGTATGTGAGTCCAGTAGATTATTTTGCTGCTGCTGCTGCTACTCACGAACAGCACTTGCCCCAACAACCTGTTAAGGCTTCACGGTGGATCTTTGTCTTTGGTGTGGATTATCTCATCAGCCGAACTCGGCAGGAATTGACGCACTCAAACTAAACAATTATTTTTTATTTTTCCAGGTAATACCCACTGAGCTCAGTAGCTTTTGTTCATAAGCGACCTGGCCATCACATAACGATAGCAGGGTCAACCATGTGGCTGACATCATCATCATCACATGGGAATGTAAAGCAGCAGCCAGATACTCTCTCGATGCATCGTGACGTCCATTCTAGATGATGTGGAGGCGAAAGTCACGCGACTACCACAGGGAGAGAGACGCAGACTCCAAATATGCAGCAGGTGTCAGTGTCAGGATTTAATCCACGACCTCCTGTATACCAGACGAGGTAGTTAACATCTCGCAGGGCCGGGATCGAACCCACGACCTGTTCTGAAGAAATGTATTTTCAGTTTATTGTAGTGGTGTCTTGTATAGTAGTGTAGTGTATAATGTGCAATAGTGTTGTGTGTTTGTAGCACGAAGCTAACCGAACTAATCGGAGGTTGCGATTGAATGACAACAAACTAAAACACAGCAACGAGCAGTTCTCAAGAAACGCGTCTGGCAATCGAGATGATGGCGTAAAGAGTGGCATCACCGTTCCCCAGCGGCTTCACCATTGTATATGCGAAAGGGAGGAGAGTACTGATTGGTTCTTTCGATAAAGGTATAAAATTAATTAAATCACGACGTTTCGGGCGCAACACAAGCGTCCGTCATCAGGTGGGACAACCACAGCAAGAAACAATTGCTGAAGTGGGCAAAAGGGCTGCCGTGACAAGAGGCTATATAGGTAAGAGAGGGGGGAGGAGCCAGGGAGGGGAGATAGAGAGGGGGGGAGTGCTGCCAAGTGGAGCGCTAGTAGACAGGGGTTGTCCAACCTGATGACGGGCACTTGAGTTGCGCCCGAAACGTCGTGATTTAATTGATTTTATTTTACACCTACGTGACTTTACCGAAAAAATCAAAGAGTATGGATTCACCTACGTGATGCGATCGGCGGCGGAGGGCACTGCGGTTCATTTGTGGCGAGCGCTCCGCCTGCGTGGATGATGATGATGATGGTGGAAGAATGCAAACCCCTTCATAGAACGAATTCATAGCTGTCAACCCCTTACACTGGTCTACAATTGTTTTTAGACGTCGACTGCTTCGGAGATGAAATGTGCTGTTTATTATTGATTTTGACGTGCTGAATTCGAATATGACAATTAAAACAACTGATTGACTACTGTTCCCAAGATATTTAAGTTGTTTACATTTTAAATCTATGTAAATTGTGTAGATAGTAGTGTTTTACTCGTAAATTGTAAACATAGCTCTTTTCATTTGTTGATAGTTGCTTTATATGATAACATGTCACCTGTCCTGTTCATGTAACACTAAAAAAATCAGCAAAAGGTTTATATAAATAACATTTATTATGAAACAAAAGGCAAAAACTATTATGTGTATATAAGTACATAGTTCAGTCCTGATTAAGTGTCTACTTGGCGCTTCTTGGCTTGTCTCTTGCATTCATCAAATGGAGCATCTCTTGTCACTGTCCAGCAATCGGCTGCCAGCATTGATGGGCTCTATTTGCCCTGATAGCGTTTCTCCATTGTGGCAATGTCCTGGTGAAATCGCTCGTCATGCTCGACACTCACGGCTCCTCAGTTCGGTGGGAAAAAATCTAGTTGAGAGTGCAAAAAAAATATTTTTAGTGACATGTTGCAACCAAGGCTTTTGTATGCCTTGGGGAGGTTTTCCACCAACTCCCTGTAGTTGTTTGCCTTGTTGTATCCCAGAAAATTGATAATTATCAGTGCTCTACCTTATTACAGACCAATTCAGACCTTATTGGTCACGCCGTGCCCCTTATAAATCTCAACGTTCATCCTACAAAGTCCCATCGCAAGGGAGAAACACAAAGTAATGAACACATTTTTTTCAACTCAATCTCCCTGTACAAGAATACGGGGTAAACCGTGCGAATTGACACAGTGTGCCAATTCGTGTTTGAGGGAGACTGGTGGGGGGGGGGGGGGTTGGTGAGGTTCGCCGTCCCCCCACGTCCGCAGGGGAGCGATCGCCGTGGTCGTCCCTGCAGACTCTCCCCCCACCTCCCCCCCCCCCCCCGGCCTTCCTTGTGAGAATGGCGGTCGACAGGGCGAGGGAAGCTGCAGGGTGATGTCGGGAGGAGGGGTGGGAGGAAAATTGAGGCTGTGGGTGGCTCCACTCGGAGGGCACCGCAGTGACGCGAAGAGGTGGCGGTGTGCCCCCCCCTCCCCCCACCACTGCCAAGAACGCCCAGATCAGTGCCCGGTGCCCGGAAGTTCCTCGCCCTCGTTCCACATCACCTTTCTGCCGCACGTTTCACTCCCTCCGTTGTTTTTTGTTTGTTTCTTTCACCCCGATGCAGGCGGCTCGCTCTTCTCCCGTCGGTTCTAAAAGGGGACTGCTCTGTGCAGGCGGTGCACAGGCGTAGGGATGGGGACGAGAATTCATGAGTCGATGAAGCGAGCCCCTCGCCCAACCCCCTTGCATCAAGGCCTCACGCCGGGGTCGTATTCCTTGTCGTCTTGATGCAGCCCCGCTGGAATGGTGCCTTCGTTCCTTGCTTTGGCAGTAGCCACTGAGCGAAGTGCGAGTGGATGTGGGGATTGTCTCTCTGTGTGTCTCCATTCGTCTCTCTCTGCCTCTATCTCCATCCGTGTCTATTTCTCCATGCGTCTCTCTCTTTCTCTATTCATCCGTTTTTCTTTTTTGGTGTCCCTCTCTTCATCCGTCATTCTCTCCGTGTTTCTCTCTCTCCGTGTCTTTCTCTCTATCTGTGTGTGTCTCTCTACGAGTCTCTCAATCAATTTCTCACTCCATCCATCTGTTTCTCTCTCTCCCCGTGTCTCTTGCTCCCTTCGTCAACGTCTCTCTCTCTCTCTCTTCTTGTCTCTCTGCAGGCTACCGTCCCCACCAGTTCCTCCTCCGGCTCCTCTTCGACGGCCGTGGGGATTGGGGTCGGGGTTGGAGTCGGTGTTGCCGTGGTCGCCGCCATCACCGCAATTGGAAGCTTCCTCTACTGCCGCAAGAAACGCGAAGCCCAGCCGGTAAGAGAGACAGGGAGATAGCGAGACGGGGAGAGAGACAGACAGAGATAGACAAGTAGATAAATGGATGGAGAGAGAGGCTTTAAACAACTTTTATTGCCGCCAGCAGCAACAGCACTGGAGGCATTTCCGATATGAAATACACAAAGTCACCAGCAAACAAATAAACAAACGCTATAAATCCACGCGCTGTGGCATTAAATGCACCGCGCACAACATGAAAGAAAAGTCACGTGGTGGTGGTGGTCATCGCGCACGCCACGGTGACGAGCGAGTGTTTCAGAAGGTGAACATGAGGGTGCCGTCCACGCTGGTACAGAGAGGGGCTTGTCCGGCTCCCCAGCGTTCGAAGAAGATGCGCACATCACTGACATGTGTGTGGTACATGGCGTGCTCCAGCCGGAGCCGCGCCTTAAGCAGGCCCCTGATCACTGGAAGCACAGAGCAGCCGTCAGTGTCACCTGCCAGCATCTTTTTCCTCGTTCGGTACACCGCCATCTTCGCCTGAGCACAGGCGATGGTTACTTTTGCCATGAGGATACTGAGACGACGTGCGGCGGTGGCGGAGGGGGTGTTGGCGGCACTTGTCCCACCGTGCTGTCCTCAGGCGGGTCGCCAGCAACCGTGTCTTCATATTCACCTCCTGCAAGGCCATCTGGGATGGCGCTCGCGGGGGAGCGTTGCTCGTCCTGCTCTGTGACTTTTGGGTAGGGCTCGTGATCGGCGGTGGCCGCGCGCTTAAGGTTAGGGGCCGCTTGGCCTCCTTCGCCGTGGCCGGGCTTTACCCTTCGCTTGCGCGAGGTGACGAGGGTGAAACCCTCGCATCCTCGTTGTCGGTGGGCGGCTTTGTGCGACCAGCTGCTGCTGCTGCTGTTGAGGCTGAGGTGGCTCTGGCTACGGCTGCTACGGCTGCTCCTGCTGCGGCTGCTGATGCTTCTGCTGAGGCTGCTGTGGCTCAGGTGGCTGTGGCTCCTGCTGCTGCTGTGGCTGCTGCTGCGCCTACTGTTGCAGCTGCTGCTGCTGCTGTGGCTTCTGCTGCTGCTGCTGTGGCTGCTCCTGCTGTGGCTGCTGCTGTGGCTGCTGTGGCTGCTGCTGCTGTGGCTGATGCTGCTGGTGTTGCTGCTGTTGCAGCTGCTGTTGCTGCGGCTGCTGCGTCTGCTGCTGCTGCCGCTACACAGGCTATAGCGGCTGCTGCTGCTTCTGCCGGCGCTGCTGAGGCTGTGGTGGAAGCTGCTGCTAGCAGCGCTGCTGCTGCTGCTTCTGGCGCTGTTGTTGTTGCTGCTGCTACTGTGTGACGTTTGTTGCAGGCTGCGCGTTTTTTTCCTTTTGGTTTGCCCGTGCAGTTTGCACGGGCATGGCCGACGCCACCGCACACGTAGCAGCGTGGCAACGTGATGGACACGTACACGGTGTAGGCGTAGCCTTCCGACGTGTAGAGCGAGAGAGATGAAGATACAGAGAGATAAATGGATGGAGAGAGGGAGAGACAGAGAGAGAGAGAGGGGGAGATGGAGAGTGAGACACAGAGAGAGAGACGTGTATAATAGAGGAGCTCTTGGGTTCGATCCTGACCCTGACACCTGCTATATATTTCCAGTATGCGTGTCTTTCTCCCCATATTTGCAGTATGCCTGTCTCTCTCCCTCCACATTTTGAATCAATGTTACACGTTTTGAGTATTTGGCTGCTATAAGTGTCCACATGATAAGCCACTTCGTTGAGCAATTGTTTGTGATGGTCAGGTTACTTCTGAAAAGAGATACAGAGCCCAATGGGGCCTTACCTGGTAAAATAAAAATAGGTAAAGAGGCAATCCCCCCCCCCCTCATTCACCCTCCCCCACCCTGCCCCTCCCTCTCCTCCCCCATCCCCTCCTCCTGCAGCCGCAGCAGAAGGAAGGTGTGGGAGATGTTGGACAGAAGTCTATAGTCGACCGCAAGAGAATGCCGGTCAGCCTTGCACAGTGTTCCAGAGACTCACCACACAGAGACCACTAGACTCATAACACAGAAGCCCATAGACTCACATAGAGACCGACAGACTCACATGGAGACCCACAGACTCACACACAGACCCATTTACTCACACAGCGATGCATAGACCCACACATAGACTCAAAGGGTCGCGTAGAGATGCATAGACTCACTAAATGAACCATAGACTCACACCGAGACCCATAAACTCACATAAAGACGAACATACTCACACATAGACCCATAGAGTCACACGAAGATTCAGAGACACCCTTAGACACTGACCCGGTCATCATAAACATACTGAGAGACCCAATAATTGTTCACTGTTTCCTCACAGATTCCAGGTGAAATGCCAAAGGATCTCTCTGTAAGTATCATCACCACCACCAGCATCACCACCACCATCACCACCATCACCATCATCATCACCACCACCAGCATCACCACCACCAGCATCACCACCACCATCACCACCATCACCATCATCACCACCATCATCATCATCACCACCACCAGCATCACCACCACCAGCATCATCACCACTGCCACCACCACCACCACCAACCTCATCACCACCACCACCATTACCACCATCATCATCATCACCACCACCAGCATCATCACCACTGCCACCACCACCACCAACCTCATCACCACCACTATTATCACCATAACCACCAAAGAGACAAAGACAACGATCCCCCCATAGGCTGTTGGGTCAAGTATTGTTAGCGAGTAGCATCTATGACAGCCGGCCTGGCACACAAGGTTATAGATGGCCAATACCCTCCCGGGCAGCCTTGGTCACCCCACTGCCGATGCTTACACACCACACCAGGTATTCATTTGAGGCTGGGTCGACCTAGATGAGGTCCAGGACCGGTTCAAATAATCGTCACAGGTGTTGGTGGCCCTGAGCAGGAATCGAACTCGGGTCGCCGGGTTCCTAGCGCAGCTGCACGCTAAACTGCTACGCCACCCCTCACTGCCTACGTGCGGGGGAGTAGAACAAAAGCATACGCGTTGGGACCCGAACATTGGTGAACTATGCCTGGGCAGGGCGACTCTAGAGGAAACTCTGATGGACGCCCCTGGCGGTTCTGACGTTAAAATCGATCGTCCGACCTGGGTTTGTGGGGCGAAAGACTAATCGAATTGTCTCGTAGCTGGTTCCCTCCGAAGTGTTACTCAGGAGATAGCTGGTGCTTGGCAGGAGCAGTTTTATCCGGTAAAGCGAATGATTGGAGATCTTGGTGGGGAAACAACCACCACCATCATCGCCACCGCCATCATCAGCAATTCGCCACTAAGTGGAGGTGACGTCACCATGGCACTTGTGCCAGGTTATGTGCACGTTAAGGCCACGTGAAGTATCGAATGCCTGCTTGTAAGAGGTCACGGGAGAGACCCAGGTGCCATGATGACGTCACATCTGGTCAATGCACCACTTCTGCCCCCTACTCTGCCAACTTGCTGTGTTTTAGCCATGCGGAGCTCTGTGAGCATCGCTCCTCTGCCCTCCATTGTTGCTAGAGGGTGTCTGCCTCCAACTGCCCAGCAGCGTCCTTCACGAGCATCCTCCACAGAGGCCGATCTTGACACCGTCAGTACCAGTCATCAGCAAGTCCACTCAGCTCCACATCCTCTTGTACCACATCACTACATCTCTTATCTAGCCTATGCCATGCCCGTATAGACCCCTATATCCAGCCAAACAAAAGCTGTTTAGGCATGTGTAACGGGTTCCGGAGACACTTGTAGATGTAACTTCTTTATTACAATACAACACTCCAACAGTCCTGATACTCTGTTACAGCCTAGGTACACAGCCTAGCTACACAGCCTAGATACTCTACTCTGGCTACGCTCTGGACTCGCCCTCACAAGGTCGTAGCGTCGGGAGTTCCAGAGTCCCAGCGCTGGCTCTCACAGCATCCCAGGGTCTTCAGATGGCTGGTCGTGGGTCTTGGGTCTTGAGTTACAACTGGGCCCGATCGTCCAGGGAGCTCCGGTTATATGCCCAGTCCCCAACGAGGGGTGGGGCCGTGTGCGCCACCAGACATCCCACAGAGCACACACAGCCCCCCCCGTTGGCGGCGCCCAGAGGCTTAAGCGTCTGGACCCCCTGGGAACCCAGCGCCTGGCGCCCAGGGGATTACGCGTCTGGACCCACCTGGGAACCCAGAGCCTACAGCAGCCCCTCCCTTCTTTTGTCACTACATTACCCCCCTCTATGTAGCCTCCAGCCGTCCCGGCTGTCAATAATTAGAAAGTTTAAATTAACGAAAGGGAGAGAGAGAAGAAAAAAAAATACGCGAGCTTCAACAGGAAAAGAAAAGAGAACAAGAAAGCAACCATAAATACCATAACCAACCTGTACAACTCTACACTATATACAAGCATCAATCAACAAAAAGGTGAAGCAATGACACGTGAACAAACGACCCGCGGCCCACCTAGCCCTCCTCGGGATCCGCATAGAAAACGGGGAATTAACAACAACAAATATACAGATTCCGACGCGTTGGATGCACAACCAACACCGGTAATCGAACCGAAATCACACAATCACCGCATGGATGGCAGGGATCCACACCACCCTGCCAGCCTCCCATCCGTCAGGTGGAGAGAAGGCGAAGACCAACATGTCGAGCATCCCTCTACACGCACTTATCCGGACGTCTGTCTACGTCCCGGGTCGAGAAGTCGTACTTCAGGGCCGACCCATGTACTGGGCAAAGAAGTCGCACTTCAGGGCTGCTCCAGTATCTACATTTTAAAAATATATATATAAAATTTACATGACACAAACAAAATAAATCTGCCTGTTCCTGTCCATAAATGGTGGCCGCACGCATGAACCGCATCTCCAAAAGGCATCCCGTGCTTGCGTCCCAGCAGCCCTCAATGAGGACCACCACCGACATTACATGTCAACCGTTTGCACCCCCCGCCTTTCCAACGTGGCGTCTCCATCCTAAAACCGCGCACGTCGGCCATATCGGGGGGGACTTCAACCCAGTCTCTCTCCAAGACTCGCATCGCAGCATATAGCTGTACCGACCGATCTGAGACCCAACCTCTCTCCAAGACTCGCATCGCAGCATATAGCTGTACCGACCGATCTGAGACCCAACCTCTCTCCAAGACTCGCATCGCAGCATATAGCTGTACCGACCGATCTGAGACCCAACCTCTCTCCAAGACTCGCATCGCAGCATATAGCTGTACCGACCGATCTGAGACCCAATTTCTCTCCAAGACTCGCATCGCAGCATATAGCTGTACCGACCGATCTGAGACGACCCATTGTTCACTCCCTGCACAACATGCACCCTAACAACTGAGGGATACAGTCCCAACGTAACGGGACAACTACACCTGAACACCACGAATCTCCAGCCCACTGTTTCAACGCGCCTCGGAGTGTTTCAATCTCCGGGCCGTCAGGTCAAGCCGTCAGCTATTCCATGACGGGACCACACTCTCCGAGCCCTGTGAGCGCACAGCCCACTAGGCTAGACATGCCACGGAGTGTCTCTATCTCCGGGCTGTCAGGTCAAGCCGTCAGCCATAGCATGACGGGACCACAACTCTCGTGTTAGACACGCAACACCCGCTGGGCCATCCTGGTCAGGATCTGCACCCCAAGATATTTGAGAACCAGCATGACAATTCCAAATCCTTGGCAGCATGTCACCATCTCAAGATAAATGCCCCATACAGTATATACATCGTTAACAATGACAGCACAAGCTATACATTAACAATCACGAACAAAGCTCAATATAAACCATACATTGTTAACAATCACAAGCAAAGTTTCGCACACACATTGACAACACTCACGGGCGAAGCTCCACACAGTTTACCCAACAACAGTCACGACTCCCCGACGACAACGAAGAAAATATCAACAAAAAAATCATTAATCCGGAGCGCGTAAAATGTACGAAGTGTCAGGGGCCTGGTCTCCCGACCTCCAACCTTTGGCCAGAGCAGCAAAGGCGGCGAGCAGCGAGTCGGTCCATGTGCCGGCCCCGGCGCTGGTTACAGTAAGAATGGCGCCCTCACTGTCCGGTCGCAGCGCTGATGACGTGCTGTGCTAGGTTGCCAACAGCTGTCACCCGGCGGTGAGGGACGCAGCGCTGATGACGCGGCGTCGTCGGGTTGGCACACGCTGGGCCCGGAAGTGACGTCGCTCCCAGTGGTCACTGCTCCTCTGGTGGAAGTGACGACACACCCGGAAGTGTCCCTCACATCCGTGGGGGGAATGGCGGCGGCGTTGGGCTCGGGCGAGCGCCGCGCCTCCTCTCTCCCTCCCGCCATCGGCCGCGAGCACCGCAGCTCGCCCAGGAGGGAGGCGGTGGCGCAGATCAGCTCTGCGAGGCGAAGCAGCGCCTCCTCCATCTCTGCTCCCGACGCTGGAGAGGGGACGGTCGGCGGAGCAGACAGCTGCTCAGCCGGCGGTGCGGCGTTGTTGTCGGCCGGCGGTGCAGCGTCGCTGTCGGCCGGCGTTGGCTGCCCCATCGCTGCCTGCTCCTCTTCATCGCCGTCAGGACTGAAGGTACGTGGCTTACTTCTTGTCTCCATAGCCACTTCTAACACCAAATGTAACGGGTTCCGGAGACACTTGTAGATGTAACTTCTTTATTACAATACAACACTCCAACAGTCCTGATACTCTGTTACAGCCTAGGTACACAGCCTAGCTACACAGCCTAGATACTCTACTCTGGCTACGCTCTGGACTCGCCCTCACAAGGTCGTAGCGTCGGGAGTTCCAGAGTCCCAGCGCTGGCTCTCACAGCATCCCAGGGTCTTCAGATGGCTGGTCGTGGGTCTTGGGTCTTGAGTTACAACTGGGCCCGATCGTCCAGGGAGCTCCGGTTATATGCCCAGTCCCCAACGAGGGGTGGGGCCGTGTGCGCCACCAGACATCCCACAGAGCACACACAGCCCCCCCCCGTTGGCGGCGCCCAGAGGCTTAAGCGTCTGGACCCCCTGGGAACCCAGCGCCTGGCGCCCAGGGGATTACGCGTCTGGACCCACCTGGGAACCCAGAGCCTACAGCAGCCCCTCCCTTCTTATGTCACTACACATGCGGTGGCTGGGCATGTGGGCTACATAACCCAGCCAACACAAGGATTTGTGAGCTCCTCACACAATCCAGCCTGGTTAAACCGAATATAGATCATAGGTAGACCAGCCTAAATGTTTCAAACCAGGGAAGATGTTTCGCAAGAATAGAGAAGGGAAGGCATGACCATATCCGAGAATTTCCGAAGCTTCGTGTGGAGCGACAGACGAGGTAGCTTGCATAAAAAGTAACACATCTGATGATAAAAGATAATGCCACTCAAGTGATAAGGAGACCTCTGCTGTCAAACCGGAGCTGGTTATGAGCACACTGCCCAGATATGGAAAACTCTCCACTCTACCCACAGCTCCCCCATCACCAATTGGGAGTTGAGGGGCGGAGTGTTTGATGGCACAAAATACCCAGGTAGGTGCTTCGTTTTAGTGGTTCAGCAGTAGTGCCTTCAACTCCTCTTCTGCATGACCAGAGCAACAGCATACATAACATGGTTGGCCAATGGGAGCCATCCCTTGACCGCACCCGGGCATCGATCAGCCTCCCATTGTTACTGTACCAGATGGATATTTCTCCGGTTCAGCCAGAGGACATCCCTGTTGCACACCATCATGAAGTTCCTTAGTGATAGTAAACAGAGAGTCAGGGACTCAAAAAGCACGAAGAACAACCCAGAGCCAAGGCCTACTGATGGTATCAAATGCTTTGACCAGGTCAATAAAGCAATTATGTAGGTCCTGTTGGAATTCCCGACACTTCTGGTGTAGCAGACTCACAGAAAATATGGCATCTGTGCAGGACCGCCCTTTCCTGAAACAATATTGCGGCTCCGCAAGCTTCTACTTGGCGTGCCTGGCAAGGAAGCAATGTTGAATAATCCTTGTCAGGACCTTTCCTAGCACACTGAGGAGGGAGATGCCCCTTTAGTGGTTACAGTCTGTGCGATTCCCCTTCTTAAAGAAGAAGACCATCAGGGCATCCTTCCTATCCTGTGGAACGCATCCAGGGATCTAGACTGTTATTATGATGTCATATAGGGCAGTCTGCACACAAACGCCACCCTCCCCCAGTATTTTGCTGCGGAGATCATCTCTGCCTCGCACTTTTCTGGTCTCCTTACGTACTTCCTCAAAAGATGGGAATTCAGCCAGCCACTCACAGGGGGTGACTACCTCTAATAGTTGAGGCATATCAGCTTCAGCAGGGTCGTTCCCACTTTGCCCCATGATGTTATCCAGTCTAATGGATTTTCCCTGCCTCAAGACCTCACATTAATTCTTATCACATCTGTAAACCTGTTCCTGGGGGTCAGAGATCAGATCACCTCTCTTTCCCCTCATTAAGGTGTTAGGTGTGGCGCTGCAAGTTACTTTGAGGGAGTTAAATAGTGATTTGTGATCGCAGGCTTCTGATGCAGACTCCATTTCCTCAGCAACCCGCGATCACCACCCATCCTTGCAGCACCGCACGGCTCTCCGAGCCTCCAAAAGAAGGTTGTGGTAAACCTGCTCATTCTTTGACATGGAATGCTGTAGACGGTGGGAGTGGACTTGTCGTATTTTCTCTGCCAGCCGGAACACCTCCTCTGCCAGCCAGGATCTCTGGGGACGCTTATACCGTGTACCCAAAGCAGCCATTGCAGCTGCATGAGTCACAGTCCCAAACCTCACCCATTTCCTCTCGGCATCAGGAGGGGGGACGATGCCAACCCCAGCTGATTCTCGCTTGCAACTTTAATCAGCTAGCTGAGACCAGGTCACTGTGGCTTTAGATAGGGTCAAGATGTATACCCATCACTGGAGTGGAATAATTGCAAGCACATCTTACGTATGACAAGCCGATGGTATTTGAGCAGATCAGCTCCACAGTAGATTTTGGTGTCAAAGACATGGGCCCGCATCCGCTTTTCTGTCGCTCTTTAGTCCAGCAGATGTTCTTACTTGAATCCGGCGTGCAATCCATTATGTTGTGTAGATGCGCCAATGCCAGAACAGCATGTTGGTAATTACAAGCCCATGGCCTGTACAAAAGTCTAGCAGCCTCCTATTGTTGATATTGAGCTGATCTGGCCCATGCTTTCCAATCACTTCAGACCAGGTGCCAGCATCATGACCCACTTGGGCATTAAAGTCACCGAACAGGATAACTCTATCCTAAGGGGTCAATTTAGCTAGCACCTGTGACAGGAGGTCATAGAAGACATGTGACTCATCGGACTTGCCTGCAGCCCTCCACTGATGTTCATCTTCGGTGGGGGTATAAGTAACCACCACTCCTCACCTCTAGTTGATGGGAAGGCGAGCCCACAGTAGCTTGGGGCATACAGGTTCCCACACCTCACTGCCATGCTTCCACACACCCTTCATTATTTTGTTCAGAAGAAGAGCCACTCTCTTTTGTTTGACAGTCTCCTGTCCCGAGTAGAGGGCTATCCATCCCTCATGCTGACAGGAGCCAGAATTAGTCCACCGTACCTCTTGAATACCCCAGAGATCTCGGCGGTATCAGTTCAGCTCCCGACAGAGGAGTGGCAGCCTTTCCTCCGCAATGAGCATTCAAACATTCTATATGGCCACCCACAGTGGCTTTTTGATGTTTTTGGAGGAGCCCCGAGGGTAAGGAATTAGTCTCCTGTCCCTGCCAAATGGGGTTTGGCCAGGAGACATCATCAACGCCTGCCCCCCGGGGCCTCCAGCACAAGCTGAGCTTGATGTTTTTTTCCCGTGGGTTTTGTGGTAATTCGATTGAAGGTGGAGGGGGTGACCAGCCCCTCACACCCCATTTGGCCGCTGAGGTGGTTACAAGTGCCATGAGGGGAATAGCCGATTTCGGAATTGATCTTCCTTTCATGGCATTACTCACATCCACCACAGCGTTAGCATCCGGCACCACCAAGGAGGTCTGGGGTTGTTTTTTGCCAAACGTGCTCACTCTCTCATTCACTCATACACTCTTCAACCCACCCACACGGCCATTGAACATGATCTCTGTGTTCATCGCAGATGCCTGATGAACTGCCTGGTATAAAGTTTCAGCGGGAGGCGATGAAGGTAAATCAGTACCATCATTTTCAAAACCAGTGACAATGCCACACTCATTTACTCATCCAATCACCCGCTCATTCACTCACTCATCCACTACCACTCTTTCACTCACCCACTCATGTAACCACTTACCAAAATCACCACTATCACCAGTATTATCACCACCATCATCGTCACCACCACTATCATTATCACCAACAAAACTGCTGCTTTTCGCCATTAAGTGGCAGTGATGTCACCACAGCACCTGTGCCAGACCAGGTACTGACGCTATGTGAAGTGTTGAAGGCTCGCTGACTGGTTACTAGCAGACCCAGGTGCCTTGGGTTGACTGACTAAGATCAATGGCAGATGCACACCTGTATCAACTTGTTGCATTTTTGCCTCCCGGCACTCCCATCATTGTTGGAGGGCGACTGCCTCAATCTGTTGTGGTGCTTTTGGTAGGTCCTGGTTTAAAAGATATTAGTCCGCATTTGCTCTTCCGTTACTATGTAGTCCAGCAGATGTTGTTGCTTAGACTCGGCGTGCATCCATGTTGGTGTGTGGATACGCCTTTGACGAAACAACGTGTTGGTTAATACAAGCCCATAGGCTGCACAAAAATCTAGCAGCCTCCTACTGTTAATGAGCTAATCTGGCCCATGCCTTTCAATCACTTCAGGCCAGGTGTCTGCATCAAGACCCACTCGGAATTCAAGTCACCACACAGGATGACTATCCAAAACGGTCGCTTTAGCCAGGGGACAGGAAGTCATAGAAGGCATTTGACCCATCAGCCTTGTCTGCATCCCTCCACAGATTTTCACTAGGGGCGTAAGCAACCATCATCATCACCACCACAATTATCACCACCACTATCATCACCATTACAACCACCATTATGATTGAGTGGGTGTGTGAGTGTGGGTGGGTCAATTGTTGAGTGAGTGAATGGGTGAGTGAGTGGGGGAGTGGTTTTGTGAAGTGCATGGGTGAGTGTTTAGGTGAGTGGCTAAGTGCGTGGGTGGGTGAGTGGTTGAGCGAATGAATGGGTAAGTTGGTGAGTGGATGAGTGCATGAGTGAATGCGTGGGTGGAAGAGTAGGTGAGTTTGTGAGTGAATGGTTAAATTAGTGCGTGGGTGATCGAATAAGTGGGTGGTTGCGTAATTGAGTGGGTCAATTGAGTGGTTGGGTGTATCAGTGAGTCTTAAGTAGCACCTAGCCTGGCACATGCACCAGAGTGACAGCTTCTGTTATTACTGTGAGTGATGCGTAACTCTCGCTGCACTTTCCTTATCTCCCCAGGAAAACGTCTACCTGGAGGTGAGAGATTGCAGTTCCTCATGTCTCCTAAGTGTCTCCCCTCCCCGTGTCTCCTCCTTATCTGTCTCCTCCTCCCCACGTGTCTCCACGCCTTTCTATGTCCACCATTCTCCGTGCTTCTCTGTCTCCGTGTCTCCACCCAAACTGTGTGTCTCTCCAGTTGATGCATGGCTTCTTCATCTCTCACCGTCGCGTTTCTCCATCTCTCGGTTCTCTTACCCGACTGTCCTCCCCCACCCCGAACACCCTCATTTCCATTTAAGCGACATCAATGCCAAGGTTCAGGTCCAGGAGCAGGCCCAGACCTAGGCCTAGGCCAAGACCCAGGCTCAGGTGCAGACCAAGGCCCAGGTTTAGGTCCACATGCAGGCAAGGCCCAGATCGAAGCCCCAGTCCAGGCTGAGGCCCTGGTCCATGCTAACGCCCAAGTCCAGGCTCAGGACCTGGTCCAGGTTAAGGCCCAGGTGCAAGCCAAGGTCCATGCTGAGGTCCAGGCTAAGACCCTCGTCCATACTTAGGCCCAGGTGTAGGCTGACGCCCAGACCGAGGCTTCAGTCCAGGCAGGCTCTGAACTCGGAAGTTTCACCGAAGTCTAAACTCTGGTGTCGACGTTTGGCCATCTCTCTGCGAGCGTCCCGTCTCATCGCATCATCATGGCGACTTCTCTCCACGTGCTGCCATTCTTCTCACCACGGTGGCTTGGAGATGTTAACTCCCTCGCCTGGTATGCAGGAGGACGTGGGTTCTATACCGACCCTGATGCCTGTTGCTGTTGTATATTGGGCGTTTCTCTCAGTGTTGGTCACGTGGATTTTTCTCTGGGTCCTCTGTTTTTCCCCTCCACATTTAGAATCAACATCAAACGTTTAAGAGTATTTGGCTGCGACACATTTCCACACGATGAGAAGCCACTTCGTTGAGCTATCATTTGTGATGGCCAGGTCACGTCTGAAAAAGGAGCTACAGAGCTCAGTCGTCCTTACTCCCTAGTAAAGTACAAAAAACCCAACAGTTTTATAGAAAACTCTTCCCTCTATCTCCAGGTGGACGATCCACGCTATACGAACATCCAAGTCTGTGCTGAGGCCCAGTCTGCGTACCTGTGCCCAGACCCTGTTGTCGCAGAGGAGAAGACGGCGACCGTGGAATCTGCATGAGAGAGGAGGAGAGAGATGGGAGAGAAAGGGAGTGGGGGTCGGGGGGAGTGGGGCTCGGGGGGAGTTGGGAAAGAGGAGAGAGATGAAAGAAGAGAGAGATGATATGAGGGGAGAGGAGATGGAGATGGCAAATCGAGGGAGGGGGAGAGTTCAGAAAGAGAGCGGAGATTAAATAAGAGAGATGGGAGAGAATAGGGGTATATGAGTGAGAGAGTTGGGAAAGAGAAGGTAGGGGGTAGAGTTGGGAGAACAGGAGAATATAGAAGATAGGGGGTAGAGAGAGTTAGAGTAGAGTCTGGAGTGATGACGTCATGTAGAATATGCGTGTGTGTAGTTGACGCGGTGCATAATCATCGCCACTAGGCAGACTACCCACCTCCTCGTGTGCTGTTCCGGCCTTCATAGGTGCTCGCTAACAGCACTTTCCCCAACAATCTGTCAAGGCTGGGCGGGTGCAATACTGCTGTCTCAACTTATGCTCACTGTGACGAGTGCACCGCTGCATGCTTGGGTCATTAGTCGCGCACATCTGATTAGCACGGCTGGATACGTACGGTGCGAAAGAAGTTAAACATACATACACACTACTATACACTACACCACCATGCTAGATTGAAAACTCATTTCTTAAGGACTGCTTTGTCCCATGACCTCTCTCCAATGAGTTTCAACATAGCACCCGCGAAGACTCAAACATCGGAGGGGGTTGACCCTTCTGGGGCTGTGGTGCATCAGATACCAGAGGAAGTAGCCACTCCCTGTGAGTCAGTGGTCAGTGGCTGGCAAGGTGAGGTTGACCCTGCTGGGGCTGCCGTGCCTCAGATTCCAGAGGAAGCAGTCACTCTCTGCGTGCATTCCTGCAGTATGCCGAAGAAGCTTCAAGCACGTGGAATGAAACGGTCGGACGTCGCTCTGAGCAGCAGAGTAGCGGTAAAGCCTGATAACTCTCAGGGGCGAGGGAGGGAGAGGCGTGAGCTATGGCTGTGATCCCTGGGTTTTGATGTTTGTTGTAAGGTTTTGTGTGGATTACGTACCGAATTAAAGAAACAAATATTCCTGTTGTCTCAAAATTGTCGACACATCCACGACCGTGGGAAAAACAAACACAGTCGCGATCATTGTCCCATTCCCTCCCCCCACCCCCATTTCAAGAAGCGTAACACGCACAGCAGTAGCTGCCACTGGAAGTGCCTCTAGGCTAGGAGTAGACAGCGGCAATCAGTGTCCACAACCACCCCCCTCCCTTCCCTCCAGACAGAAGACTAATAAACACAGCGGCAATGATCACACTCCCCTACTGCAGCAGACTAACGCTTAGAGGGGCAGCTGTCACTGGGGGTGCCCCTAGGCTATGAACACATAGCGGCAATCATTGCACTCACCGTACCCAACAGAAGACTGGGTGTCCTTCTCCCGCAACTCCAATTAGTACGTTTAGGCTACATGCGGTGCAAACGAAGTTCAACACACACACATATATATGCAAGACTAACACACACAGGAGTAGCTGCCAATAGGGGTGCCCCTAGGCTAAGACCACAGCGGCAATCATCACACTTCCTCTACCGATAAAAGAGTGTTGTCCTTTCCCCGTGCCTCCAATAAGCATGGTTGGCTAAGTACGGTGCGAAAGAAGTTCAGCACATACATGCAAGACTAATACACACAGGGTCAGCTGCCACTGGGGGTGCCCCTAGGGACGTGACCTTTTCTTTTGAGAAGGGCTAATATCCTTCCCATACGTGGAATGCGGGAGAGGGAGTCTTCGTCCATTACACGAGAGTGGGTAAGGGGGTGAGCAGGAGAGTGAGTGGGTGACTGTGTTAGTGGTTGGGTGAGCAGATTATTGAGAGTGAGTAAGATATGCAGGAGGGTGAGTGAGTGTGAGTGACTGGGTGACTGAGTTACTGGTTGGGTGAGTGGAAGAGTGAATGGGAGGATAGGTGATTGAGTCAGTGGATGTATGTGTAGAGACGATTTCGACGCACTTGTCCAGAAAGGATTCTTTATTTAAGGAGCAACGTGCTCTCCCTCGGACCAGCGAAGAACCCACTGCAGCAGTCCCGAATCTCCCACGCATCCCGCCTTCTATACGGTGCGTGGCGATGCCCCTATTCCCGATTCTTCTCGTTGACCCTAGTCCACTCGCCCTGCAGGTTGACTCCATTGTCTCATTACATCATCTGGCCACGCCCCTATTCTTGATCATTCTCGTGGCCACTAGCCCACTCGCACTGCAGGTTGACTTTACTGTCATGACATATGTATGTATGTGAGTTGACGTTTCGCACCATACGTAACCAACCGTGCTTATAGGAGGTGAAAATGGATGAGGGTGTGAGTTGGGTGAGTGGGAGAGTGGGAGAGTGGGTGAGTGAATGCATAGGTGATTTAGTGAGTGGGTGAGTGAGTGTGTGAGTGGGTGAGTGAGTTAGGGTGTGAGTGGGCGAGTAAGGGTGTGAGTGGTCGAGGAAATGTGTAAGTGACTGCATCGGTGAGTGAGGAGCAGAGTTAGTAGGTGAATGAGTGGATGGGTGAGGGTGAAAGTGGGTGAACGGATTACTGAATGGGTGAGTGAGTGAGAATTTCTGTGAGTGTGTGAGTGAGTCAGTGGGAGAGTGACTGAGTAAGTGGGTGGGTAAGTTATTGAGTTGTTGGGTGGGTGAGTGGTTGGGTGTTTGAGTGAGTGGATGGGTGAGGGAATCGATGAATGCGTAGCAGAGTGGTTGGGTGAGGGTGTTGGTGAGTTTGAGAGAGTGGGTGGGTAGGTAGGTGAGAGAGTGGGTGAGTTATTGATTGGGCGAGTGAAAGAGTGAGTGGTTGGGTGAGTCGGTGCGTGAGTTGGTAAGTGAGTGGGTGAGTCGGTGGCTGAGTGAGTGGGTGGGTGAGTGAGAGAGGTTGTGAGTCGGTAGCCGTGGTGCAGTGATTCGCGCTACCCCCCGCGCAACTAACCCCGGACCTGAATCACCCGAGTTCGATTCTCACTCAGGCCCAACATCAGCAGCAAAGATGATGTGAAACCGACCTAAGGAGGGCTTCTTCCCCTTAGGTCGTCTCATCAGTACCTGGGTGCGGTGTGTAAACATACCCGCGAGGGATACAACGCTTCAAGGAAGTGGAAGAGGAGGAAGCGATGGCAAGAATGCGAATTATGCATAACAGAAATGCAGGTAGAAAGAGACAAAGAAAGATACGAGTGAGAGGGACACTCAGAGAAAGACTCAGCGAGAGAGAGACTCAGAGAGAATCATAGAAAGATTCATAGGGACACCTCGTCTATGTGAGTATACATGTGTGTATCTCTGTCTGTGTATCTGTCTCTCTGTGTCTCTGTCTGGGTATCTGTCTCTCTGTGTGTCTCTGTCTATGTATCTGTCTCTGTGTGTATCTCTGTCTATGTGTCTGTCTCTCTGTGTCTATGTCTGTGAATCTGTCTCTGTGTGTGTCTCTGTCTGTCTCTCTGTGTCTCTGTCTGTGCATATGTCCCTCTGTGTGTCTCTGTATGTGTATCTGTCTCTGCGTGTGTCTCTGTCTGTGTATCTGTCTCTCTGTGTATCTGTCTGTGTATCTGTCTCGTGTGTGTCTGTGTATGTATCTCTGTGTGTCTCTGTCTGTGTATCTGTTTCTGTGTGTGTCTTTCTGTGTATCTGTCTGTGTGTGTCTCTGTCTGTGTATGTCTCTCTGTGTCTCTGTCTGTGTATCTTTATCTCTGTGTGTCTCTGTCTGTGTATGTCTCTCTGTGTCTCTGTCTGTGTATCTGTCTGTGTATCTGTCTGTCTCGTGTGTGTCTGTGTATGTCTCTCTGTGTGTCTCTGTCTGTGTATCTGTCTCTGTGTGTCTTTCTGTGTATCTGTCTCTCTGTGTGTCTTTGTGTATCTGTCGATCTGTGTAGCGGTTAGCGCCATGAAATACTCGGCGATCCGGCCACTCACTCCTTTTGTGTGCCACAGTGTCGGTAGCCTTCATAGGTGCTGCTCACGGGGGATCTTTGTCTTCGTGTGTCTATAAAGCATGGAGCGGTGGCGCAGTAGTTAGCTCACCACACTGCGCGACACATCGAATATCTGAATCCTGTGCTGGGATTGTCACTTAGGTCGATTCAGCCTTAAATGGTGCATATGGTGTGTGTGTGTGCAGTGAACATGGTGGTGGTGGTAATGGTGGGGGTGATGATAATGATGGTGGTAAAGGTGATGGTGTTAATGATGATGGCGATGATGATAGTGATGATGGTGTTAATGATGGTGGTGGTGGTGATAATGACGGTTGTAGTGATGGTGGTGATGTTGTTGGTGATGGTGGTGGTGATGTTGGTGGTGATGATGGTGATGGCGGTAATAGTGATTATGTTGATGGTGGTGTTGATGATGGTGGTTATGTATCATCGTGTCTGTGTGTTTGTCTATCTGTAAATGTATTATTGGGCGGAGATGCGCCATCTCCATGCAGGTGGTAGTACCGGCCACATGCCAATAGGGGGAAGAAGAGGGGCTGTGCCCCAGTGTGAAGGGACTATGGCCCACAGGGCCCAACGGTAACCCCTATGGAACGGCATGACCAGAGGTACAGACCCCAGAACCCAGGAGGGGCCTGGGGGATGACATCACTCCCAAGTCCTGCTAGAAGGTTCAAAAAGGAAGGTGTGGCCAGGGCGGGGCAAGCTACAGCCCTGTATAAAATCCGGACCTCTGAACGGTCCCAGCTGTCGTCGCTCACCCAAAGATCAGAGAGCCTCCTGGAGAGAAGAGCCCCATTGGGCAGAGCCGTACCCCTGGCTAGGGTTGGCTCCAGCTTATTCCAGTGAAGACCCAAGCTTCGCTTAAGAAGGTAGTTAGATTAGCCAGTGAGAGGCGTATTAGTCTGGAGGGGCTACCTTAGCGTATCGGGTGTGAGGGGCCGTTACCCCTCTGTGTTAAGGATTTATTGTTAAATAAATCCTGTTGCCTCAGAGAACTACATATCTACGTGTGAGTTTTTGTCTGTGTGTAGTGAGTCCAACTGAGTCGCAGATGTTACTCTTCAGAGGCAACACATTTATTCGCAACACGTATAAACAAAGGGGTAACTGCCTCTTTACCAGATACAGCCTAAGGTGGTGACCACCCAGCTAACTACACTACACATAGGCGTTACGGCTACAATGGATCGGACCCTCACTCGGATTCCCGGCCACGTGTTGGTGCCTCTTCAGACGTAGGACGTAGAGCTTCCAGCTTGTAGACGTGGAGCTTCCAGCTTGTAGAATGAAGCGACCCCGGTCCCTCTCAGGGACCCACCTTTTATCCTCCCGGGTTGGGACCGGCTCCGCCCTCGGCCCCGCCCACCTTCGGGAGCGTTCTAGCTCCCTCTCGATCCCTCTCGAGAGCTCTCCCCAGACACGTGATCACCCCCTAGCCCCCCTACCTGGGGGCCTCTCTGTGGACACTCTGGATCACGTGCCTATGGGGTCAACCAGAGTGCCATGGCCCGGGGCAACCCTGTCCCTGGATTGACAGTCTTCCGACCCCCTTTGTGGGAGCCCGCCTCTATATAAGGAACGTAACAGGTGGACTTCTCCACAAATCTGGCTGTCGCCTCATGAAGCTAGTTGTAATTACTGGTGAAATGTCGTACTCAGATTGTAAATGTCGTGGCTTGGCTCTCCAACACACCAGTGTGCTGTACTAGTGACGAATTAGCATGTTATTTTTACGTAACAACTCTTACTAGTTGGCTGTGTTGGGTGGTGGCAGGTTTTAACTAAGCATCTATAGCTTTTGTTCAGCCGGATAGAGGGGGCTAAACGGGCACGACACAGGCTGGAGATGACTGACACCATCCGTGTCAAGATTGGCCTCTGTAGAGGAGGCTCGTGACGGACGCTACTGGGCAGTTGGAGGCAGTCGCCCTCCAGCAACAATGAAGGGCAGAGGAGCGATGCTCACAACAACCAGCGGAATGCCGGGCAGCTAAAATACAGCAATTTGGCACAGTCCGGGGCACAGGTGGTGTATCATCTTTGACTATGTAGTTCGAGAAACTTTCCATGGCTGTACCGGAGAAATTTACATCTGGTACACAGAAACAATGGGAGGCTGATCGATGCTCGAGTGTGGTCGAAGGATGGCTCGTTATTGGTCAACCATGTTATGTATGCTCATGATCTGGTGATTGCTGCTCACTCGGAGGAGGAGTTGGAGGCGCTGCTCCTGAAACCTGGAGTGTGTCACTAAGAGGTAGGGTCTTACCATCAGCCACACCAAAACTAAGTACCTGCCTGGGTATTTTGTGCCATCAGACACTCCACCCCTCAGCTTCCCATTGGTGATGGAGAAGTTGTGGAGAGAGTGGAAAATTTCCCAAACTTGGACAGTGTGCTTATGACCAGCTGCTGTGTGTCAACGGAGATCACACTCCGAATCAGTCGGGGAGCATTATCATTCCACCGGCTGTGTAATGCTGCGTGGAAGCTACCTTGTTTGTCACTTCGCATGAAGCTTCGGGTCTTGTCGGCCACAGTCATGCCATTCCTTATCTATGCTTGTGAAATGTGGACCATTCTAATGGAACATCTTCGCTGGTTAGACACATTCAGGATGGCCTGCCTACGATCCGTCCTGGGTTTAACCAGCCTAGATTGTTTGAGGAGCTCACAAATCCTTGAAAGATCTGGACACATTCCGATCAGTGAGCTCCTCCGGCAGGCAAGGCTGCGTTGGTTGGGTCATGTAGCCCGCATGCCCAGTCACCACATGTCCAGCTTCTGATTAGCCTCATAAAGAGGGCTAAACGGTCCGACATGGGCTGGAGAAGAGATGATCTGATGTGGTATTAGAGCATGTAGAGCTGAGTGTACTTGCCGAAGACTGGTACCAGCAGTGTCAAAATCGGCCTCTGTGGAGGAGGCTCGTGAAATACGCTACTGAGCAGTTGAAGGCAGTTGCCATACAACAACAACTGAGGGCAGAGGAGCAATGCACAGTAGGGGGTACAGCTGGTGCCTCGAATAGTCATCTCAGTCAGCAAACCCATGGCACCTGCTGGGTCTGTCCCGTGACCTCCTGTCAGTGATTCATCGACACATTACGTGGCTTCTAAGTGCACCTAACATGACACAGGTGCCGTGGTGACATCACCGTCACTTAGAGGCGAATGGCAGATATTGGCATTGGTGATGATAGTGGTGATGATGGTGGTGATGGTGTTGATGAGGGTGGTGGTTGTGATGATAATAGTGGTGATGGTGATAACGGTAATGGTAGATGATGGTGTTAATGATGGTGATGATAATAGTGATGATGTTGATGGTGGTGACAGTGGTGGTGATGGAAGTGATGATGGTGGTGATAGTGGTGGTGGTTATGGTGGTGATAGTGATAGTGTCGAAGATGATGGTGGTGTTGATGATTGTTACTTTAACTTACAGAAATGGCGTCACTGACGGTGATGGTGATGATGGTGGCGGTAACGGTGATGGTGGCTGAGGTAAGGTAATGCTGATAATACAATGCTGTGGATGCTGATGATATTTATTTTGTTAATGATGATGCTGATGACGACGGTACTGATGATGTTATTGATTTTGTTTTTAGGCTCAATTTACTCCAGATGTGAGTAACTTACACACACAGACACACACACTATGAGGGGGGATATTTCATTTAGAAGAGTGGCTTTTCTTCTGAACAAAAGAATGAAGGGGTTGGTGAGGTGTAAGAAGCTGGAAGTACCAGGGTAGTGTGGGCTCACCTTCGCATCAACGGTCGTGGAGGTTGCTTGCGCTCTCACCAAATATGAACATTGGTACGTAGATGCAGGCAAGGCCAATGAGTCGGATGCCTTCTACGACCTCCTGTCTCAGGTCCTATCGAACGTGGCCACTTCGGATAGAGTCATCCTGTTGGGTGACTTTAATGCCCGAGTGGGTCGAGATGCAGACACCTGGGCTGGAGTGATTGGAAGACATGAGCCAGATCAGCTCAATTATAACGGTAGGAGACTGCTAGACTTGTGTGCAGCCCATGGGAGTGTAATCACCACCACGCTTTTCCGGCATTAGCACATCCACACAACATCATGGATGTACACCATTTCCAAGCAAGAACATCCGCTAGGCTGTCTAGTGACATCTTTCAAGTAATAATTTGCAGAAATGGCGTCATTGACGGTGATGATGGTGGCGGTAATGGTGATGGTGGCTGAGGTAAGGTGATGCTGATAATGCTGTGGATGCTGCTGATGTTGTTGGTAATGATGATGCTGATGACGATGATGCTAATGATATCATTGATTTTGTTTTTTAGGCTCCACTTACTACATTTGTGAGTAACTTACACACACAGACACACGCACTATGAGGGTGGATATTTTATTCAGAAAAGTGTCTCTTCTTCTATACAAAATAATGAAGGGGTTGGTGAGGTGTGGGAAGCTGGAAGTACCAGAGTATTGTGGGCTCACCTTCCCATCAACGGTGGTGTAGGTTGGTTGCGCTCTCACCAAAGATGAACATCAGTAGATGGATGCAGGCAAGGCCGATGAGTTAAATGCCTTCTAGGACCTACTGTCTCAGGTCCTATCTAACGTGGCTGCTTCGGATAGAGTCATCCTGTTGGGTGACTTTAATGCCCGAGTGGGTCAAGATACAGACATATGGGCTGGAGTGATTGGAAGGCATGGGCCATATCAGCTCAATTATAACGGTAAGAGACTGCAAGACTTGTGTGCAGCCCATGTAATCACAAACACGCTTTTCCGGCATTAGTGCATCCACACAACATCGTGGATGACCACCGTTTCCAAGTAAGAACATCTGCTGGACTCTTTGGTTCTTTCGGTAAAGTCACGTAGGTGAAAAAAATAATTTTAAAAAATAACTAGATTAAATCACGTTTCGGTCGCAACACAAGTGTCCGTCATCAGGTGGGGACAACCACAGCGAAAAAACAATCGCTGAAGTATGCCAAAGAGATGGCTGTGACAAGGGATTATATAGCTGAGGGGGGGGGGGGACCAGGGTGAGTGTGGGAGCGTGGCGTGGGCTGGAGGAGAGCGGCAAGGATGGTCCTAGAGTTCGAACTAAAGCTGTGACACGTTGGGGGAGGGGGGATGTTAGGGGAGTGAACTCTGCAAGCTCTAAACACTGCACGGCAAATTTCCAAGTGATGGGAGTAAGCAGGGCTGTGAGTAAAAGACTGGAGATGCGCATATAAATATAAACTATAAGGCAGCTAAGGTTCAACTTGGTTAATAACATCCTTCCAATTGTAGGGGTGTTAAGGGGTGTTAAGGGGGAGCTGACAAACACACACGGGTGTCTGCTGCCATATGCTACACGGGTGTCTACACCCACGTCCGCAAATGGTATACGCTGGGATCCCCCACAACCCCACCCCTTGGGGGGCGATTGCTATAAAAGGCGGGAAGCCGGAGGGCTCGAGGTCCCAGTGGGCAAGCTTCAACCAGTGAAGAAAGAAGACCAGCAGATAGGCCCGGGAAGTCCCCTGGCTCGCCGTCCTTGTCAGGGTCGAGCAGGGAAAGCCAGCGGCGCGGCCCTAAGAGCCTCAGAGCCGACGCTCTTGTAAGAGCCGGTCTGATGGTTAAAGGGCCGGGATCTGTGCTGAACCAGGGCCGGATCGGTTAGCCTCCCCTAGGACCCAGTGGAGGAACTGGGCCGAGGATAGCTGGGGATAGTGTTAGTGGGATATCCCTGTAGCACGGGTGAAGGGGCCGCCACCCCTTTCCAGTAATGTATTATTGCCCGGGTGTTATAAATAAGTGTGCCTCCGACTACGTCGTCTCCATCTGATTGGAACCCACTACACAATGATTTCTCAATTTGAATCCATCTTCTCGGTTGAAGTTATGTTTATGTTAGTATATCTGGATGGCTTCATTGACAAATCTCTGGTGGTATCCAGACGGCTTGCAGAGCACTTTGATATCAGAGAAAACAATATCATGAGGAGCCACCGATTTGTAGCAGTGATCAGCCACGGCGGAATAATTCGTCCTGCCGTGTTTCAAATCTGCCTTGTGTCCACGAATACGGTCTGATATATGTCGTTTCGTTTCCCAAATGTAACATTCACCACAAATGCAACTCAGTTTGTAGACTCCAGGGTACTGTAAATCAGGAATGACATCCTTTACAGATGACATCAGATCACGAATTGTATGTACTGTACTGAATCGGACCTGGATTTTGTGTTTGTTCAAGAGTTTGGATATATTTTTGGTAACGCCTGCTATGTATGGCAACGTGATGGTTTTGATCGGAGTCTCAGGGGGTTGTCTCACTATGGTTGGAGAAACAGCTTTGCGGATAATCTTGTTCGAATATCCATTCATCTTTAGGGCCCTGTGTACATGTTCTAATTCACTGGCCAGGTGGTCACTTTACCGAAAAAACCAAAGAGTATGGAACCTTGCAGTCACGAAAACTTCAAATCTAGAATCTGCTGGACTATATAGTGACATCTGTGAAGTAATAATAACTTGCAGAAATGGCGTCATTGACGGTGATGCTGGTGGTGGTAATGGTGATGGTGGCTGAGGTAAGGTGTCTGCTGATAATGCTGCGGATGCTGATGATGTTATGTTGGTAATGATGATGCTGATAATGATGCTAATGATGTTATTGATTTTGTTTTTTAGGATCCACTAACTACAAATGTGAGTAACTTACACACACAGACACACACACTATGAGGTTCGATATTTTATTCAGAAGAGTGGATCTTCTTCTAAACAAAAAAATGAACGGGTTGGTGAGGTGTGGGTAGCTGTAAGTACCAGGGTACTGTGGGCTCACCTCCCCATCAGCGGTGGTGGACGTTGCTTGTGCTCTCACTAAAGATGAACATCAGAAGATGGATGCAGGCAAGGCCAATGAGTCAGATGCCTTCTACGGCCTCCTGTCTGAAGTCCTAGCTAACGTGGCTGCTTTGGATAGAGTCATCCTGTTGGGTGACTTTAATGCCCGAGTGGGTCAAGATGCAGACATCTGGGCTGGAGTGATTGGAAGGCATGGGCCAGATCAGCTCAATGATAACGGTAGGAGACTGTTAGACTTGTGTGCAGCCCATGGGAGTGTAATCAGCAACACGCTTTTCCGGCATTGGCGCATCCACACAACATCGTGGATGTACACCGTTTCCAAGCAAGAACATCCACTGGGCTATCTACTATCTAGTGACATGTTTCAAGTAATAATAACTTGGAGAAATGCGTCATTGATGGTGATGATGGTGGCGGTAATGGTGATGGTGGCTGAGGTAAGGTGATGCTGATAATGCTGCGGATGCTGATGATGCTCATGTTGTTAATAATGATGACGATGATGCTGATGATGTTATTGATTTGATTTTTTAGGCTCCACTTACTACACTTGTGAGTAACTTACACACACAGACACACACACTATGAGGGTGGATATTTTATTCAGAAGAGTGGGTCTTCTTCTAAACAAAATAATGAAGGGGTTGGTGAGGTGTGGGAAGCTGGAAGTACCAGGGTACTGTGGGTTCACCTCACCATCAACGGTGGTGGAGGTTGCTTGCGCTCTCACCAAAGATGAACATCGGTAGATGTGTAATGCGAGCGTATGTGGGGTTTTGCCGCCCCAGCCCTAAGCCAACCAGGCACCATGAAGCATCGGGGGCAGGGTCTAAGGGCAGAGCCCGGGGCGCTAAGGGAGGGTTATTATCTGGAAGGTTCTTAAGGGGTGTGGCGAAGGGCAAAGTCTGGGTGACGTGGGAAGGGGATATAAGGGGGAGCCGGAAAGGGCTCAGGGTGAGTTGGTGGGAGCTGGAAGCTGGGCCACGTCGGGAGTCTCCGGGAGCCATCGGCCATGTGGCGACGTGGAGACGGCTCCCAGCGCACCGTCTGCCAGCGGTGCGCGGGAGCGGGGGAAGCGCGAGAGCGGCGCGGGAGCGGGACGTTAGTTCTGCGACGTGCCGCGGAGTGACTGGAAGAGCGGAACGCGAGCTGTCCATAACGAAGAAATAAAAGAGACGGAACACAGTCGCTTGCCGTCGACCCGTTTTATTACAGATGGATGCAAGCAAGGCCGATGAGTCAGATGCCTTCTATGGCCTCCTGTCTGAGGTCCTAGCTAACGTGGCTGCTTCGGATGAAGTCATCCTGTTGGGTGACTTGAATGCCAGAGTGGGTCAAGATGCACACACCTGGGCTGGAGTTATTGAAAGGCATGGGCCAGATCAGTTCAATGATAATGGTAGGAGACTGCTCGACTTGTGTGCAGCCCATGGGAGTGTAATCACCAACACGCTTTTCCGGCATTTGGGCATCCACACATCGTGGATGCACACCGTTTCCTGGCAAGAACATCCGCTGGGCTATCTAGTGACATTTTTCAAATAATAATAACTTGCAGAAATGGCGTCATTGACGGTGATGATGGTGGCGGTAATGGTGATGGTGGCTGAGGTAAGGTGATGCTGATAATCCAGCGGATGCTGATGATGCTTATGTTGTTAATGATGATTCTGATGACGATGATGCTGATGATGTTATTGATTTTGTTTTATAGGCTCCAGTTACTACAAATGTGAGTAACTCACACACACAGACACACACACTATGGGGTGAATATTTTATTCAGAAGAGTGGCTATTCTTCTGAATATTAGAATGATCGGATTGGTGATGTGGGAAGTTGTACGTACCAGGGTACTGTGGGCTCACTTCCCCTTCAACGGTGGTGGAGGTTGCTTGCGCTCGCACCAAAGATGAACATCAATAGATGGATGCAAGCAAGGCTGATGAGTCAGATGCCTTCTACGACCTACTGTCTCAGGTCCTGGCTAACGTTGCTGCTTCGGATAGAGTCATCCTGATGGGTGACTTTAATGCCCGAGTGGGTCAAGATGCAGACACCTGGGCTGGAGTGATTGGAAGGCATGGGCCAGATCAGCTCATTGATAATGGTAGGAGACTTATAGACTTTTGTGCAGCCCATGGGAGTGTAATCACCAAACACGCTTTTCCGGCATTGGCGCATCCACACAACATCGTGGATGCACACCGTTTCCAAGTGTAGTGGATTCAACTGAGTCGCAGACGTACTCTTTGGAGGCAACACATTTATCGATAACAACACAAAATGGGTAACTGCCCCTTTACCAAATAACAACCTATGTTGGTGGACCACCAGGCTAACTACACTAATCACTCTGGGAGTTTCTACAACGGGCCGAACCCCGGCTTGGGTCCAGGTCCATGTGTTGGTGACTCTTCTCAGACGTAGAACGTAGATCTTCAGATGACAACAGCAACGCTGAACCCCGGTCCCTCTGGGGACCCGGTTATATGCTCCCTGGTCGTGGCTGGCCCGGCCTGTGGCCACGACCACCTTCTCGAAACCTTTAGCAGGATCTCACCTGACACGTGACCATCCCTAGCCCCCATCTGGGGGCCCTTGTGTAGAACTTACACCTCAGATGCCTTCCAGGGTCAACCAGAGTGTCATGGCCTGTTGTCACCCCATTCCATGGCTAACACTCTGACACCCCATCATGTAGGGGTCGGCACTGCACGCCACGCGTGGTACCATTCAGCGCCATGACTCAGCGCTCACCGAGCCCCTCTAGGGCTGGTACTCAACCCACAATTCCGCAGTGTCTGCGACGGCAATATATCACACGCCATACCTCGTTAGAGCCGGCATTACCCAGTGACATCCACGATGTCGCTACATACGTGATGTCCGCGATGTAAGTACATCGCACGCCGTACCGCTCTAAGGCCAGCACCACACAGTGACATCCGCAAGAATATCTGCTGGACTATATAGTGACATCTTTCAATTAATAATAACTTACAGAAATGGCGTCACTGACGGTGATGATGGTGGCAGTAATGGTGATGGTGGCTGAGATAAGGAGATACTGACAAAAATTGTGGAAGCTGATGATGCTTATGTTGTTAATGATGATGCTGATCACGACGATGCTAATGGCTTTCATGATTTTATTTTTTAGGCTCCAGTTACTACCAATGTGAGTAACTTACACACATACAGACACACACACTATGAGGGTGGATATTTTAGTCAGAAGAGTGGCTATTTTTCTGAATATTAGAATGATCGGGTTTGTGACGTGTGAGAAGTTGTAAGAACCAGGGAACCGTGGGCTCACCTCCCCATCAACGGTGGTGGAGGTTGCTTACGCTCTCACCAAAGATGAACATGAGTAGACGGATGCAGGCAAGGCCAATGAGTCAGATGCCTTCTACAACCTACTGTCTCAGGTCCTAGCTAACGTGGCTGCTTCGGATAGAGTCATCCTGTTGGGTGACTTTAATGCCCGAGTGGGTCAAGATGCAGACACCTGGGCTGGAGTGATTGGAAGGCATGGGCCAGATCAGCTCAATTATAACGGTACGAGACTGTTAGACTTGTGTGCAGCCCATGGGAGTGTAATCACCAACACGCTTTTCCGGCATTGGCACATCCACACAACATCGTGGATTCACACCGTTTACAAGCAAGAACATCTGCTGGGCTAAATAGTGACATCTTTCAAATAATAATAACTTGCAGAAATGGCATCACTGACGGTGATGATGGTGGCGGTAATGGTGATGGTGGCTGAGGTAAGGTGATGCTGATAATGCGGTGGATGCTGATGCTTATGTTGTTAATGATGATGCTGATAATGATGCTGATGATGTTATTGATTTTGTTTTTTAGGCTCCGGTTACTGCAGATGTGAGTAACTTACACTCACAGACATACACACTATGAGGTGGATATTTCATTTAGAAGAGTGGCTCTTCTTCTGACACAAAAGAATGAAGGGGTTGGTGAGGTGTGGGAAGCTCTAAGTACCAGTGTGCTGTGGGCTCACCTCCCCATCAACGGTGGTGAAGGTTGCTTGCGCTTTAACCACAGATTAACATCAGTAGATGGATGCAGGCAAGGCCGATGAGTCAGATGCCTTCTACGACCTCCTGTCTCAGGTCCTAGCTAACGTTGCCACTTCGGATAGAGTCATCCTGTTGGGTGACTTTAATGTGCGATTGGGTCAAGATGCAGGCACCTGGGCTGGAGTGATTCGAAGGCATGGGCCAGATCAGCTCATTGATAACGGTCGGAGACTGCTAGATTTGTGTAAAGCCCATGGGAGTGTAATCACCAACACGCTTTTCCGGGACTGGCGCATCCACACGCCATCGTGGATGCACACCGTTTGCAAGCAAGTACATATGCTGGACTACTGTATATAGTGACATCTTTCAAATAATAATAAATCGTTGATTCAAACATTAACACGGAGTTGAATCAGAGTAGCCAACATGCCGCAGCTATGTATATAATTTTAGAAAAACGCTAAAAATATATTATACATATAGTTTTGGTGAACTGTGCCAAACGCCTGACACTGTATTGTGTGTGTAACGCTAGTTAGGCTATGTGGATGTTCATGCAATTATATTACAAAAAATGTTTTTCCTTAATTGTTACAAATGATTTGTTTGTTACACTAATAATCAATTTTCTCCAAACCTTTGATAAAAGCCAAGTGCGCTTTGTTTTGGATTTCATTTTCTGGTTTTGCACACCATTACAGAATAATAATATATTCGTAAATTTACACCAAATTTGATAGTGATTTATTTTGTTGATTCAATACAATCTTAAAACTTTGGTCTTTTAAAACAATTTTTATAAACCCGTCACGTTTTGGGCAATTACACTAGCATATATAGGGGAATGGTGGTAAGGGCTACAAGACATTGCCAAAGGGGGGGGGGGGGGTCAGATGGTGCTGTTCTATACAATAAAATGCAAATATCAATGGGTGTAGCCACAACAATAAATCAACTGAATAACAATTAAAAGCATATTAACTATAACGTGCTGGTTTCCTAGCAGAGACATCTTATGCGGTAAGACACAGTTGTGCGGCCGTAAGCGCAAGTGATATGTTCTTTTGATTTTGGAGGGGGGGAGGATCAATGGGTGCAGAACGTGGTCATGGTTAGATAAAATACGAATGAAGAGGGACATGTCGGCGGCTCTGCAGTTCTCTTCAAATAGTGGCATGCTGGGTGCGCAGAACTCCGCTCTTTTGCTGCGGCGCAGAACTGACTCATGCCGATCACGCTCAGCTGCGTTGGTACATTTCCACCATGCTGAGAGAGCCATAGCTCATCTTGGCGATAATGATTGAAACAAAAACAACATAACTGCAGATTTGCAGCATTCAATGCGCCCGTAAAATGTGTAAGGCAAAAAAGTACGAGCACACGATGGAATGATAGAAGCAATGTGGGGGGGGGGGGGGGGGCATTGAAAAGTTAATGATGATGACCACACCCAAAATTTTCATCACCGCCTATCGCTTGATAAATTGAAGGGGAGGTGGATCAGGGGTGTGGTTGATGCTGCGGCTGCCTTGTCTACCCTCTTGCCTGAAGATCAGTTTTGTGGACTTTTCTTGATTTAGCGTGAGGTTATTACAAGTGACCCACTTCTGAATGTGGTCAATTCCTTCGGCAGTTGATGCAGAATTTGATTCTGGAATAATTAAATAGATGTCATCTGCGAATTTAACGAGTACATTTGTCAGTGGTTCTCGGTTGTAGGTCTGCGGCAGTGAAGATAAAGCCTGCAGGGCCAAGCGCTAATCCCTGGATTAAACTGGCATTCATTGTAGCATACTCAGAAGTCTCATTCGCAAACTTGGTGCAATGAGAATGGTTATTGAGAACTGAAACTGTTAGTTATAGATGTTGTCAGGAACATTTCGTGAAGTCCAGGCAGATGACATCAATGTACTTGTTTGTGGTGAACATGACAGCAACGGGGTAGAATGTGGATAATATAATTTAAAATAACGTAATTCATGCAATTGTATCCGACAATGCTGCACACTAATTATCCAGTTCAGTACACAGATAATACAAAAACAAATCCCACTACTTAGCAGATACAAAAATATATACATACATAACAAGAAAAGATACAGATAACAAGAAAAAAATCCTTGCAGAGAAAAAAAATCTAATCCGTTCAGTCTCCATACCCCAAACCACAATCTCAAAATTTTGCCAAATTTTAGAGAACCTTCACAGGCTGGGTGGTTGAGTGACTGAAAAGTTATGAGTCAGTTGGACGTTAATATAAATGCCTATTTGATGAGGGCAGCAGTGGTGGAGCCTGAAGAGCGGAAGGCAAATTGACTAAAGTAAGTCAAGGATGGTGGTCGGTTGCGTAGAATGGGATAGATTAATGTTCTTACAACAATCCTTTCAAGCATCCTGGATAAAACAGAAGTGATGGATATTTCTCTTAAGTCAGAAAGGCGGACAGGGGTGGACATCTTTAGATATAGGATTGATAGATGCTCGCTTCCACTGCTCAGAAACATTCGAGGAGAGACACACATTAAATTGCTGGGCAATGGGCCGGCAAAATATCGAGGCACCAACACGAAGAAACCAGGCTGGGAGGTTGTTAGGACCAGTGGGTATGTGGCAGAGTCTGTCCAGAAATGTGAATATCTCGTGCTCAGAGATGTGGTGGTTCGAGTTGTAAGCTAAAGCTGGGGACTTCCTCCTGGTGATGGTGTATGAGTGATCATGGGAAATAGTGGCATAATAGGCATTAAGGGGGTACACAGTGATGGATGAGTATACCTCATGGTGAGAGAGGCGCCGAAAATTATCCCACATCCCCTTCGCATCCAGTCGAGGATCTGCCTTGACAAGTGCAGTTGTATTTTGTCTGTTTCGGCTGATGTGGGCTGCAAGTGCACTGGCTTCCTCAAGTCGGCCTGCTCGCATCAATTTATTACACTGGTCAACACACGTTTTCTGGCATAAGGTATTCCAACGGTTTTAATGTTATTTTGGGATGCCGATTCCAAATCTGGCATCAGTTTTTGTCTATCAAGTTTTTGAGATATCAAATATTGCATTTTCAATAAAAACTGCAGAAGAAAAATCTTAAATAAATGTGGATATCTACATAAAATGATATTATAAACACACTATCCTAAAATTACAGCACCATATTTTAACACTAAAGCAGTCACTGACTCGCAAGAACTTGCAATCATAAGTGACAGAGTTAATTTCGGGTAAAATCAATGAAAATGGGGTATGCCGATAGCATAAAAATGAGATGTGATAGAGCAAATCTGAGATCAGATTTGGAATCAGCACCCTGAAATTAGTCTAAAACAGCTGCAAAAGTCCAGGCCAGAAAAAAATGTTTTTGTTTTATTGACCAGTGTTATTGAGTCGCAGGTCAGCCTTCATTTCATCTGCAACAAAATATGGATCACGTGAGATGAGGGTAACAGAGCGTTCTTGGTATAATTCATTGAGAGTAGTGAGCTCGGTAGTGTAAAAATGGTCGAAGGATGCTTGAATGTCGGATTCGGATAACAGGCGGAACTGAGTTTAAATTTGAGCAACATTAGCAAAAAACCTGGTATGTCGAGTGGGGCCTCTTTTCCGGAAGGTGTAGGGTATTCTGGTTTTGTGGGCTTGCATTTTCGGGGGGCCAGAATACGCGATTTTTTTTACAGATGGTCAGTTTTGAGTACAGGCTTCACGACCTTCAAGTGATCATGATCTTCTGTCGAAACAAAGATATGGCCGAGGGTGTTTGGGCCACTTGTAGGCTGGGTGACAATGGGGCGTGGGTCTCGGAGATTAATGCAATGCCAACATCGTAGCTCAAAAGGTCAGCAGTGAGGTGGTCTATTACATGGCGCTTGGCGATGGGTGAGGCATTCAAGACATATACCGTCGGTGGGTTGCCAAGGTTTTGGGCAGGAGCTGGGAATTGAAGATGGTAGCGAACGGCAATGGTGAGGTAGGATGGCCTTCGTTTCACTGCTCGATGGGCATTTGGAACATGAAATGGGTGGCGATTGTGAATAAAGACGTAGATAGTGTGGTTGCTTTCTTGTTTGGAAACCGGAACTGTAACAGTATCATCAGCCATGTCATGAATGGGCACTGAGTGGACGGCAGTAGGCTTAACTCGGGCTCGGGGTGCCGATTTAATGTGGCCTAACCCATGGTGAGGTCCGGTGGGTGCCTTAGGATTTTGTGAGCTCCAGTAGTACGCGCGCTGTGCTCTAGCAGATCTCCTATAGCACCCTAGCAGTACACCAGCGGCAAACCAGACGTCCACAAGCAGTCCACCAGCAGTGCTCCAGCAGTGCTCCAGTAGCACCTCAACAGTGCACCATTGGTACTTCAGCAGTGCACCGGTAGTGTGCCAGCATCACACCAGTAGTACACCTGCAGTACTATAGCAGGTGACATCTTCTTCTTCTTTAGTGCTGCCTAACGGCGTGTGCGACTTCACGATGATATTGGTCCCGGTCTAGCACGGCGTGTAGAGTTTGTGCTGTTGTTAATTGTAGCCATGTTTTGATGTTACTGAGCCATGTCGTTTTTGGCCGTCCTGGTCGTTTTTTCCCTTCGATTTTTCCTTCCAGGATTTGCTTTAATAGCTGGTATTTGTGGTCGTTTCGGGCAATGTGGCCTAGGTAGTAACACTTCCTGCTAATGATGGTCTTCAGCAGTTGCCTGTCAGTGCCCATATCTTGCAGAACTTGTGTATTGGTGGTTTTGGCTGTCCATGGGATTTTCAGCATTCTTCGATACAGCCACATCTCGAAAGCTTCGAGCCTTTTTGTTGCTGTTGTTGTCAATGTCCACGTCTCTACTCCGTACAGCAAAATT